CAAGGAACTTTTGACTCCCTATGGTGGCCGGACATAATAAATGCTTGGTCACAATCGGATGTCCATCTGACCTTATTGATATAATCAAGAGCTATCTACAGGGCATAACAGTACAGATTACAGCAGACTCAGAGATTGCAACCAGAAAGCTTCAAAGTGGATGCCCTCAGGGCTCTTGCTTAGAACCGAGTCTCCAATTCGATTCTTGAAGAATTCAAACACTTTCAGGAATGTGAAATAATTGCCTATGCAGACGACTTCCTAATGATCACACATGGGAAGTCAAAACTACAACTTATAGCTCGGTTCTATTTGGATATATTTAGTAATTGGGCCCGTTATCACAAAATCAAAATATCTCCTTCAAAAACTTCGGAAATGATAATAGGTGCAGCAAGGCCCTTAAAAAGAAACCCATCTCTGAAATTACAAGGACAATCAATTAAATTCAGTAACCAAATTAAGTATCCAGGTTTTTTTTTTTTTTTAGATTCACGACTATCTTGGATTCCACACCTAAAACAAATGAAAAGGAGAACTATTAATATTGTCATAAATAATCAGATGAAAAGAACTGCGGGAAAGTCTTGAGGAGCCTCATCTCACCTGTTAAAATTGTGATGTAAAACGGTCATCGAAAAAATTCTGTTCTCTACTGTGCTGGAATATGGGCAGTTAATCTAACTAAACATGCTCGTCGGCTATTAAATTCTATGCAGAGGATGTCTCTTCTTCACATAAGTAGAGGATATCGCACATCACCAACAGCGGCATTGCAAGTACTTATAGGTTTACCTCCAATTGGCCTAGTAGTAGAACAAGAGTCTACTCTCTCTCGGGTCCTTCGTTTAAAAGTAAACAGTACCTTATGGAATCACTCTCAATATCCTACTGATTATGAATCAAAAGTTTTAGAACTTCTAATGAGCAAAACAACTGCAATAACTTTCATCCAGCAGCTTTTAATCTCTCTGACGGTATCAGTATAAACGACCAACCAATTCAGAGACAGTAGAACTTTTCACAGTGGCTCCAAACTGAACGGCGGGCAGCGCTTCTGTAGACTAGAAAATGGAGTTGTAACTTCGAGTGGAAAAGGAAATTAGCTCGAATAACTCGGTATACAAGCAGAGCTCTAGATATCACTGCTGCATAGTATGCGAACACATGTCAAAGGAGAATTCTCCATACTCAGTATGAGGATCAAGTCTGAGGACTATCGCAAGTCAAATCAGCGGGTCCATTGTATACAGAATTCAGAAAACAGCTTCTGACAATAGCCTATTCGCAAAGACCCACTTTAAAATGGGTTCCGCTCACACAAGGATTCAAGAGGCAATGAAGCGCTGACCTACGGCCAAGCAGGCGCCAACGTACGATAGATTAGAAGACACTAAACTTGCCTTGGTCTCAATTAAGCGAACAACTTTGACAGTCTGCTACAAAATTGGCAAAGTAGATGGACAAGAGGCAGAGGTAGACGAAGGACATTTTCGATTACTGCCAAAAGTTAACATGGAAATAAAGACCCACTGTGCTAGCCTATCACTTCTGACAGGTCAGGACCATTCCCAGTAATACCTGAACAGATTCAGACTTAGGGATACTCCTTTTGCGAATGCGGAGAGGAAGCGACACGGACCATTATTACTTCCATTGTGTACATACAAGAAACTGGCATTGAAAAACCAGCGGACTGTGCCTGGGCAATGTGACGACTAAACACTCAAAAACAGAATAGCCCTTGATAAAATAGAGAAAATCTCAGAACACTGCCTAAGCAGAAACAACCGTGGATAATATTATAATGTTTAAAAGTTCAGAACTTAAAGCAATAACCAGAAAACGCTTAGTGCCTTGCAGTTACAATATGTAAAAAACTATTATTAGTTTATAATATCAAACCTTGTTACTCTGGAGTCTTTCCCGCTGTTATGGTATATAATCCTTGGTTCAGTCCGTGGTCGGAAGCCATCATAGCGTTGCACTCACTCACTCACTCACTAAGTGTCACAATACTAAATTCATTAATTATCTTCCTAAAGATCTCACAATTTACACGGATGGTTCTAGACCAGATGCTGAGACAGGATGCGGATTATGTATTTACAAGGTACAGGATAATGAGACTCGATTAAAATAATTCAATTTTCCAGGCAGAGTTAGCGCAATTAAAAAAGCAGTTCTAATTTCGAATCGATTTTCAAATAGAGATATAATTTGTACCGACTCACAATCAAGTCTTCAAGCCATTGCTGGAACACAATCAAGGAGCCTTTTAATATTTGAAATTCAAAAACTCTTACTCAGATCTCCATTAGAACTAAGACCGACCTTTTGTTGGGTACTAGCACACACAGGAGTCGTAGGGAATGAGCAAGCAGATAAATTAGCAAAAATGCGGCTATGGGCATACATCTATCAGAATATGCATTACCATTTCCAGATTTCCAGGATTTTTCCTTAAGAAAGTGACATTCGTTAGTATGTTACAAGAATGGCAGTTTCGCTGGAATAATCGTACGACGGGTCGCAGAACATACAAGTTCATCCCCAAAGTATCTACTGATTTATCTACGTTTTCTAATACAATCAGGAATTATACAACTGGTCATGGACCTTTTATGACTTACTTGTATAGATTTGGCCTATCAGAGAACGACTTATGCCGCTGCGGTCATCAGGGATCACTTGATCACTATGCATTTAATTGCGTACATACCAAAACTTTTCATCTACGACAACTTTCAGAAAAATACTGGCTTAGCTAATTATTAAAATCAAAAGGAGCATTAAATAAACTTGGTAACTGTATAAAAATTTGTTACAACTTAAATACATTTCCTTCCCCTGAATAAAATTTCAGTTAGTAAGTTTTGTTGATTTTCTTTTTCTTAATATTATTTTTACTTTTATACTTTCTATAAACTATCTTGTATATATTTAAATTGATTTTGTGAAACATCATTTTAATTTCCGTATGGCGCCAAGTAACTATCCAAGTATACTTAAAAATTTATTTGTAGATTTAACACTCACTAGGAATCTAACTGCAGATGTCTTTAATTATGTTTCTTATTTCTCATATTATTGAACAGTTTTACATAAGGCGATTTTGAATGAATAAATGTAGTAAATAAAAATATAGTAAAATATATGCGTGTGTAAAATCTTTTGCTTGTTTTATTTTTGTATAACATCCTCACAGTTCTCTTAATAATCCTACCCATTAAACACCAGTGGATCTTTAAACTAAAAGAGAGAAGCTACCGTTACTTTAAAAATATACGGTGTAATATAATTGCTTATGTGATAATGACGTAATATCAAATGCAGAATGATACTTCCAAAGAAAGTTCTCTCCCGAGTGTTCCTCTAATAAAAAAAAGAGATAAAGTTCATTATTTTATGCAGCCTTTCAGTTTTGTGGAAGCAAGGGACTTAACAAATAAACTATACTGTCACTGGTAATCACTATTCACGTCGAACCCACGGATCTTCTTCTTGCTAGCTCGGCGTGCTAACCATTTATACCACGATAACACGCAAGAGAAGTGCGATGTCATTTTCTAATAAAACTCATTAAAATCTAATCCATCTTTTTTGGATAACCCAGTATATTACATTAAACAATAATATTGTTACGAATTTTGTATATAGATAGGTATTTTAGTGCAATTATATGTGAAATTTTTGTATTTTTCTGTGTAATGTAACGTGAAAAATCTAAAGAGAGAAGCTATGCCTGAAAGTAAGAATACAGGGGCAAGTGTATTTTACATTGAGTAAATGGGTATCTCGGTAATTTCGTGAGATATCGCCAAGCTGACAATGGTTTTGGAAACTTATTTTGTCGTCCAATTTCGCCAGAAATCGCGTAAAGTCGGCAAATACGGCGAACTTGTGGTGACATTGAGGTTCGGTCTTTGTACCATCATAATGAGTGTTGTTGTTGAATATATGCAACTGGTCACTATATTATCTGTAACCGTAATTCGACCCTCTTATTGCTTTCCAGTAATTTTGAGAAGCAGAAAGCACTAGAAATATCTCTGCCGCCGGTTGAAAACTATAAAAAGCCAGAGAGAGCACCAGTTTTTGTTGTTGTTTAGTTATTGTTATTGCGAATAATTAGTTCAGCCATAACTGATATATCTATGCTTTCTCGATATAGCTTTCTTTTTAGGTGTGGTGCTTTAATTTGCATTGTGTTTGACGTGTTTAGTAGTTTGAAGTGCAACTGATAATTGTAATCTATGATACTGTGATTACCAGTACGAGTATTTCTGTGGAAAATTCCAGAACTTTGAAGTGTTTTTATCTGATAAAAATAAATTTTATAACCTATTATCGGATCTGTGTACATTCAGTCTATTACGAACCCGTACGCACGCAACACTTTTTGACATCAGAAGTGGAATAATGAACATCAGACATACTTACCTGTCCCAACTTCTAGTACAAGCACAAATTTTACAGAGATTTTAAGCGCAGTCTACAATAATTTCTCCTCCTACTGTGGCTTCTACAATTCAAGGCAGTTCAACTTCTGCTGCTGAAATGGAAGAACAAGAAAAATACAATAATCTAACATATAATTGCACTGAAATACCTAACTGTGTATAAAATTCGTAACAATATGAAAATAATGAAAATCTGTCCTGTGTTTATAATTGAGTTACCTTAATAGACTTCCATACAGTTAATTTTTGCTGTTGAAACTGGTAACTAAGAGTATCAAATTTCCAAACAAGTTATATTTAGAAAAGGGCTAATTACATAGATAGTAATTGATTAAAGTTACTGGAATGACTCACTAAGCCTAAACATTTGAGAAAAAATTTAAGCGCTCCAATAAAACACTTTAAAAATTAGGTAATTAAATTTTTTATTTAGACTATTTCGTAGATAAATACTCTATACTGCTTTATAAAGTCAATTATTTAGTATGTACCACTAGTCTGTGTATAAACGCTAATTATAACTCCTTTATTTTACAGGAACGACATCAGATTTAGCAAATGCTTTGTGCAGCAAAAATGCGAGTATTGCCATTTTGTTTCGTGAAATGTCTTCCCGACCTAGGCCATTTAGTCATACGATTGTAACTATTGACTTCCTGGTTACGGATTACAGACTTACGTTTGGAATTGATCCAAGTAAAGGACAAAGTAAGCATAATTTGTATAATGGATATATATTTTTAATTCAGAAAACATAATTTATTGCCTAAAACAGGTGGTGCTGTGAGAACTTTGAATTGAAGTTGTTGCCATTATCACTTTCAAAAGTATAATAACACAATATCTTCATATTGTTAAAGCCTTGCTTTGCATTATATAACTAGCTAATCTTTATTATATGCGGCTTAAGTGTCTGTTTGTCGCCGATAGTTTATTGGTTGCTTGCGTAACTGTACTAGCCAATGGGGTGAAGTTGCCATGGCATTCAAATAGTCCATATACACTGAAACCATACATGCAGTTATCATTGTTTTAATTAAATTTTCATGGTATTTAAGAACATTTAAATATTTTTAATTCATACAATTTTTGCTTATTATGCATTTAACTATATTTACATATGAATTACCTAGAAACTTGCAAACGTTGAGAAATTAAAGGAGACGAAACCAACTAACGAGTTGTGCGTAGTACATCTCATCAGGTAGGTTTACCCAAACTCTTATGCTAAACATCCTTTTCCAGTAAAGAGTTTAAAATTTTGCCCGATTTTATTCCGACATTGTATTTTAAACTGAATTTTCAGCTGAACGCAAATTGAGCGTGTCAGGGGGAACGTGAACATGTGTTTGCATTAGCAATCATCTGTTTTTGAAATGGTTTACAACTGAACGCAGGATTGAGCGTGTCAGGGGGAACGTGAACATTTGTTTGCATTAGCAATCATCTGTTTATAATCAATTTATAATAATCAATTTATAATATCTAGAACAGCGGTCATTTCGTATGACCGCCGGGCTTTCTAGTTTTATATAACAAGACTAATTAGCTTTTAAACTTTATATTTTAAGACTAATTAGCTTAAATACTTTTAGAACTAGCTAATAATTATATAACTACTATGCGTTAATATTTTCATTTATTCCGCATCACTACTCTCATTCTACAAATATGCAGACTGAATTAGCATAAAATAATGAAAATGACAGTTCAGGGGCAGGAAGCGGAGCAAGCTCGCAGGCGGATTGCGGCTGAAGCAGTGCAAGTGTAGAGGCGGAACAAGCGGAGTCTAATTGATAAGTGGGTCATGATTCTTTATTTAGTTGATAAAAATGAGAATTCGAACCTGTCACAAAAGGAGTTCTGCATAGAGTAAGTCTGCATTAAGTCTGCATAGAGTAGTACTATGATTGATTGCTTTAGAGCACTACCCCATGATCTATAGTCACTTATTGGCAAGAAAAGGTTATAACTAAATTACATTTTTTTAGGATTGTTCCCACCACCACCCAGTGCAGTTAATTGCACCTCGACAATTGCACTTCCAAGGCCAAAACAAACGAAGAGACAGATGAGGCACTTTACCCACTGTCGGAGCTCTGGGAAGTGTCTGGGAGAGCTAACTTACAAGTGCACATCAGTATCGCCATTGAGAGAGGGGTTTCAAAAACGATTTTAGATAAAATCAAATTTTAGACGAAATAATTCAAAAATAAAGCTTAGAAATGAGACATATTTAATATTCCAGGTGCTATAAAATTAATACGCGTATACTGGAGTAGTTATACTGCAATATTATGCTTTAAAAATTATTGACATATATATATATATATATAATATATATATATATATTGTTGCAATAGCTATTTAAATTTCTTCTTTGGATTTTTATATGCCCCTCTTAACATCTGCAATGCATCAAAACGTTTCCCAACAGTATAATATCTAATTGAATCCATACAAATAACTTAATAATGCTGATGATGCGAATCTAAATCGAACTTTGACGTAACTAATTCGGAATTTGAACTCAAAATTTCGAGAGCTGAAACCTTTCTTTTAACAGGCTTCCATATTGGATAACAGCGCACTTTTGCTTTTACCTCTCGTTCTGTTAAAACTTCTCTCACTTAGAGTGTGATAGCTCTTGTCCATTGATCTAAAAATATAATTTGCATAAAATTGTGGGATGCATAGCGCGTACAGTGATGATGTGCAATGAAAAAGAATATGTGTCTTACGAATAAATAATCAAGGAATAAACTGTGTGGAATTTACGGCTACTGCTGTCTTCGAGTATCAGCAAACTTTCTTTTCCAAGTTATTACAACGCAAAGAACTATCACCACCGTTGCAACTTTCTCCAAGTCATCCTATTATATACGTAGAGAGATAGCAAGATAGATATAAATATATTGTTGCGTTTTTCTTTTTCTGACACCAGTTGTTACGTTATCTTCTTCCTTCACGTTCGTACGGGGTTCGTCTGGATTTGGAGTGAATAACGACGACACTTCATGAAGTATCGAAACACACTTTATTTGCCAGTATTGCCAGGACAGCTTCAAAACGGGTTTTAAAGTCGTCGATGAACTACTATAAACACGCTGATACGATCAGCGACACAGCCTTCAGGTTATCAGGCTATCACGGTGAAGACAGCTTCACTGCAAAGCACCCGAGTACAGCTCCCGACTCTGCTTGGTCGTTCTCGGAACTTCACGTACTCTCGAGACTCTCCACGCGATGCACTCGACGATACACAAGCGTATAGCTCTCGACGCAGCACAGTCTAAGACAAAACTCGACGGTGCACTAATTCGCGATGCACTAAAAGACTCTCTCGATGCACTCGACGACCGAGTCGGCGCTAGACTTCGAGACACTCGCTCAATGACTATCAGCTCGCTAGACGAGGCACACACACTAACTGACTGCGGACCAGCAGGGTTTATATAGCTTTCGTTTTATATAGCTTGTGTTCGAGAACATTCTGGGCTAAACCGGTAAGAATTCGTTCCAGAAGGTTCTCCATCCGTCCATTGTATATCGCCAATTTTGTCGCCAAATGAGCGATTTCTCGTCAAATGTGGCAACCCTGCCTTTCCTTACTATTTTATGGCAACCCTAAAACTGCTTTGCGGGGAAGCCATCTTACCGCGTTTGGACATTTCGTAACAATATACTTTGTAGGGTTTATATTTATTTTAAGCTATTTTTCCTGTCAAGCCTTTACTTTCCCCTAGAATTGCCAATGCCAGAGTATGTAAATCGTAGTAGAACGCGCAGAGTATTCAAATTTTAGCAGAAGTAAATTGAGTTTAAATAGAAGGGAAACGAGATTGTAAGTGTGCTTCTTGAATCACGAGCGTGAAGGTTTGCTGGTAGAAAAAGTTTAAGAACCGCGCGTTTCGGCCTGTGTGCCTATTTCGACAGTTCGTTGAATCTTTTCAAATTCTTAATCAGAAAGTTTGCTGAATCTTAGCTGTATCTTAGAACGCGGTTAAGTTAGTTACGATTATAGAGCCTCGTAGGTAGTGACTTCGTTGTTTACTCATCCTGTCATTTATTTTTAGTTGCATTTTTGTCTATTTTGTTCAACCGCCGGGTCGGCGTAGTTTGTGAGCGTCAAGTGAACGCAACTGTGATTTCTAAAGTGAAATAAAAAGGGAGTTAAACCCTTCTTAAGAGTTTGTGTAATTTCCAGTTCATAGCAGTCACTACTACTGTTGCTGGCAAGTTGGGGCCTCCCAACATGATAACTTATAAATGCATTTTATCATTAAAATAAGCTTAAATAATTACCTTAAGAATATTTTAACAATCCACGTTTCACAGAGCTTAATCATATTTAGTGGAAACGATAGAACTTCTCTGCTTTCTACTACTCCTATTAAGCATTTCTATGGTAGGTAGCAGATGTGCTGTATCTCAAATAATTATTATCACCCTTTATGTGTATTTAATGCAGCAGAAATTTTCGAAGATTTGTGGAAAGCTGATTTAGCACTTCATTTAATTTTAATTAAATAGTTAATCATCTCGATTTGCTGGGTATTGAATAATTAAATTATTGTTTAAGAAAGCCAGTTACGTTTGAAATTTGGCAGCGAAATTTAATTTTGATTTACATTTGATGATGGAATAAGTTTCTATTATAAGAGGTTTAAAAATCACATAATTTAATAAGCGCAAAAACAAATCTGAAGAAAATATCGACTTTGCTTTCTTACTACTACAGGAAAACTATATAATAGGCTTTCACCATATCACATAGTAAACTAAGGTTTCTTTCTTTTCTTCTTCTTTTTTTTTTTTTTTTTTTTTTTTTGTGATGTAGCAAGGTTTGGTTACCCAGCAACGAAAGCTCGGTTTAAACCAGTTGTGACATTTATACCACCGTCTAAACCGAGCTTTACTTCATCGCTACTAGGTTCATCACTGCTTTCCTCCTCTTTGTTGTCAAGTATTGTATGCATAGTTGTAATTTTGCTCTTCATCGACGAAAATTCAAGCTCATCTTCACTTGAAATGATTCCTTCATCGTAACTTTAAAAATAATATTCCTGTTGCCTGGGCTGTTGATTTCGAACTAACATCGAAGACGCATATATAGCAATAAATCTAAAAAGCATGTTGAGGATCGAAGATTGGAAGTTGTTTTATACGCATGTAATGAAGAATGCACTCATGAAGCGATTTTACCCAAAAAAACCTTAAATAAAATAAACATTGTTATCGCTTCAAATCAAGTGGTACTCGAGAGTCACCACTCGAGTTACCGCGTGGTAACCGAGAGTTAACTCTCAAATGCAAAGGGTTAAATATGTGTTAGATTAAAAAAAATTTTCTCAGTTATTTTTGAAGTTTTAAAATCGATCTGCTAATTTAAACAAAAAAATTAAATTGAAGGGTTTTTTTTTCTAGTGTTATTAACCGTGAATGGACCTTCAAACTTGGAACAAAAGTACCGCATTCCTGGAAATTTATCAGCTGGCGAACACATAGCCATTTTTGTTCCCGATCCGAGAGACTCTACACCGGCCACTTTGAGAGTATACGTAAATTGCACGCTGCAACAGACGATAGAATTGCCCAAATCTATGTTCGACATGCTGCAACAGAATACAGAAGTGCAAGTGGTAAGGACTTTTATGGTTACCTCAGAGTATTATTTCCATTATATTCAATTAAAAATTATTCTCGCTTCGAAATATGTAATAAAATCGATGCTCTTAATAACAACTACTGAAAAGCGGAAAAAAGGACTTAAATAAAATAGCACTAGCTCAAATGTATTTAAGATACTAATTCGGAAGTCAAACAACAAAAATCAGCGTTATATTTTCAAAACTTTCACAGGACTAGTTTCGATGGTTTTACCGAACCATTATCCTCAGCTGCAAAACCGCAAATGAACAAGATAGGAAATAATGATTAGATAAGATAAGAAACCCTGGACAAGAATAAGCATGTGGCGCCATCTGTTGATGAAACCAGAAAACTAAACATATTTTTCTTTAAAGGCCGAGGCAAAGATGGATTGGAATTAGGATCGTTAACTAGAACAGAAAGATTTTTTTGAATGTGAAATGCCTCTAGAAAATCCAGTTCTCCAATGGAAGATGTTTCTTGAATAATTTTGGCAGCAGAAAAATTGAAAGTGGGATTTTCGGACCAATAATGTTGCGCAACAGAAGACTTCTGTGTTTCCTTTTTTTCTAACGTATGCCTCATGTTCCTAGACGCGAAATTTTAAGGCTCTCTTAGTTTGGCCAATATAAATTAAACCCCACTGGCAAGGAATCCTGTAAATACCCCAGGAATTCATATCCGGAATGGGGTCCTTGAGTATGGAACTCGGAATTTTATTGTTGGGAGAATAAACAACCCGAAAGTTAAACAGATCATCAACAGATGGCGCCACTTGCTTATTCTTGTCCAGGCTTTCTTATCTTATCTAATCATTATTTCCTATCTTGTTCATTTGCGGTTTTGCAGCTGAGGATGGTGTTTCGGTAAAACCATCGAAACTAGTCCTGTGAAAATTTTGAAAATATAACGCTGATTTTTGTTGTTTGACTTCTGAATTAGTATTTGTTCGGCGTGTTATTGTGTCTTAATTGTATTTAAGATGCTTTTAAGAGTTGTGAAATGTTTGAACTAGTCGTTGTAATAGAACGATGGCTATAATGAGCGGTCGTGACAGCGAGCGTAGATTTCAGAATAATGTATTTAAAGCTAATACAGATAAGTTATTCTGCAGTATAAGTGAAATTTCTTCGAATGTGAATCTGTGCAATATGGTATAGAACGACTTCATTGTTCAATTTGGTAATGTAAACATAAATATGTTAACTTCTGAATCAACTGCTGTTACCTCAGATCTTGGTTAATTCGGGAGCAATGAAAGAAAAAATACGGAAAACAGGAATAACTCCCAGTAATTAACACAAAATATTACTAAAAATTTTTGGCTGGTTTTAAAGCAGTTTATTGGGGAGAATAAGTTAATTTGGCTGTATAAGTTATGTCAAGGTTGGAAACCAAATGAACGCAGAAAATAACGGAATAAAAATCAGCAGCCATGAAAAAACTAAGTTATAAAGGGAAATTAAAAACATTTTTAACATCAGACCTCGGACAATTAAATAGTTTTTTATAGTAATTTTTTCATCTTTTCGCAGATAAAAAGCTTAATTTAGTGCTATTAAAGATTTTAGACTACTTTTATTTCTCATACGCATGTTTCATACAATACATAATACCGCACTGAAAATATTTCATAGCTAAATTTTCTAACTTTAATAAATAAATAATCATAAATACTTCCCTAGAAATATTATCACTTGCACTGTGAGTGTCTGTACAATGAAAAGTGTATTTTAATACATTGTCACGTACGTTCGGGTTCGTAATGAATTGAATATGCACTGGACCGATAAGAGCTTGATAAAATGTATGGTACTATTCGGTTTCGAGGGCCGTGAAAAATTGCCACACTATTGTTGATGCCAATGCTGCCAAAAATAATTGCGGCAACCCTAACGCAAGAAAGGAAGTTAAATACGAGGGCAATCCCAAAAAAAAGATCTCCTATTTTTTGGGGACGTAGAGAAAGTTTTAATACGGTTGTTGGCAACACTGTTGTGAGTGGTGCCTTCTCCGCTACCACATAAACACGCAGGCGCTTCGCTCGGATGCTCAGTCTTGGCTTGGCAGCCATTCGAAATGGAGCTCCCGATAAACGTTACCGCCAAGTGCGAAGTGCGCGCAGTTATTCAATTTTTGAACGCAAAAGGCGTTAAACCGGTTGAAATTCACCGCCTATTGACAGAAGTGTATGGACAGTCGTGCATGGATGTCAGAAACGTTCGCAAGTGGTGTAGAGAGTTTACAGCCGGTCGTACTGAAATTCATGATGAAGAAAGGAGCGGGAGGCCGTCAATTGCCGACGAGACAATCGCGAAAGTTGAGGGCGTTCCTCAACTTTCGCGATTGTATTCGTTGTTGTTCGTATTTGTTGAGTTCGTATTCGTTGAGTTTCGCGATTGTTGAGTTCATAAAATGCGTAAAGATCGGAGGATCATCTGGATGCTCCTGAAGCTCCTCAACGCTTCCTGAAGGCCATGGCGGCAAGCTGGTATGACATGGGCATTGTAAAACTGCCACAGCGTCTACAAAAAATGCATCGACCGAAATGGCGATTATGTTGAAAAATAAAGCATTCTGCAATCTTTAAAGTGATGTAGCAATTATAGAAAATAAACGGTTCTTTGTATATCTAAAAATCTAGGAGACCTTTTTTTTGGGATTGCCCTCGTAACTATGTAGGATTGATATTTTAATCTAGATGAAAGGTTAATTTCATATAATACTTTTTTATTATTATAATTTATATGAAAAAGGCTAAACATGACTGAATGGAAGCATAAGAGTAAATAACTATCATTATTATAATTTATATAAAAATTGCTAAACATAACTGAATGGATGCCTGCATCGCTATTTCGTTACCGACTTATTGCTAAAGCATAATTTCATCTCGTTGGTTGTTCAAACGTAATTTTGTATAATGAATGATTCTTTGAAAATATTCTCGGTAAAAAACAGAATCGCTCACTTCTTTGTTTGCCGCTTTTTACAAGGGTAAAAACAATTGGATTTTGTCAATTTTCTTTTAATTTTTAAGTGAAAATAGGTCATGTGTACATAGATAAAGCCAAGGGTGTGCGCAGTGCCATTTTTGTACAATTAATGGGATTTTTTTTTTTTAAGTGAAAATAGGTCGATGTGCACATGGATGCCGAGTATGTGCAATTCTTAAAAACGCGTCGAGCAGTGAGTGATTCTGCCCAAAATTCTATTGCCGACTTTTCGTCATGGCCAATTCCCAAATTGTTAAATCCATAGGATATTTAAAAAGGATTTAAAATCAAAAAAGGATTTAAAAATTAATCTAGTAGATTAGTATTTCAATGGCGTCTTAAGAAATATTGAACTTACGCAATCTGAAATCAGCGCGTACGCTAGATTTGGCGCGCATGTTAAGCGGGCGCGTTTGCTAGATTTGGCGCTTTTGCGCATACATTTTCGTTGCAATTTTTTACGGTCCTCAAAACGGAATAGTACCAAATGTATTTTTTCCAAAAGAAACAATTTACAGTTCTGGAACTTTCCACCAAAGTATTCGCATAGCTCTTTTCAATAGGACAGAGCAAAATCATTAATTACCACCTTAAATTACTAAAAACGTTAAACACAAAGCAATACAACGCGCATCTGAAGAGCGAAGCTCGCACGGATATCTATACTCCGAATTCAACTCTGAACTAAAAAATGAGAACTGATGCACTCTCCAGTCTTATACAGTTTCTCACCGACCACTGAGAAATTTCTAGTACCTTCCATTCCTTGAAATTACAGGAAGGCATACATGATTAAAGTTACATATAAGGTCCAAATACGTTTACAGTCACATATAGGAATCAATTCCTGTTATACAGGGAACGGACCAAAATGCCAAACTTGGCGACCATTCGGTGATTTCTCTTCAAATTTTTCAGCTAATATTTGTCTTCAAAACCGTTGCGTCCTTGGCGATATCTCGCCAATAGCTTGCCTTTTTTCTGAGGCCGCTCATGTTACATTATACAAATTCATACTAATATTTTAGATGGAGAGACAAGAATCAGGAAAATTATTTTGAAGAGCTTAATGCAATAAGCTAACAAAATGAAATTGCAAAACATCAAAACATATTTTTTTTCATCTTTCTATGTATATTTTTTCAGTAGAATAAGAGAGAATAGTATAACGTAATAATTGTAAAGTATATTTACAGGAAATCAACATTGTTGCTTATTTTAAAAAGGCATATACGAGCGATTAAAAACTAGAACATTAATTTCTATAATCGCATTTTTAAATACCACGTTACCTGCTATGTCATCTAATGGTTGCAGAGTCTCGTGTTCTTTGGTAGCATAGATGACAACTAAGACCTAAGTGAATTATCACCATACCTTGTAAAGTAACACAGAGACTAAGAAAGGACCCTTTGTTTAACTGAAATAAAAGATTAACAGAAAGCACTTCTCTTGCTTATATAGACAGCCAGCAATTATGGCTTAAATCAAAAATAAGGAATTTGACTTGACTAAGCAAACGTAAGTTAGCCCAGTGGCTACAGACAGAAAACGCGCGAATTGGCTCTCACCTAAAGTCGTCGTAACCAAGCTTAATGGCGAGAATAACGCAACGCGGGCAGAATACAGCTCTCAAGAGAATCAAATTGGTAATGTGGCCTTCAGCAGGCAGAAAACGCTTTCATTCTACCCTGAACCTTCCTTTGAATGCTATCTCCTTTCTACCTCATTTGAATACACGCGAACTAGAAATTTACATTCTGACAGGAAAATGGAAAACGAGGACACTAAAGCACATTAATATAAAAGAACTGGTTAGTAAAACTAAACGATTCCTTATATGGAGTACCACCTAAAAACATCGGGGCAAAAACATCGCGGACGAAAACATCGTGGGAAAAATAGCGCAAGGCGAAAACGTTGTGGTATAAAACATCATAGGAGAAAACATCTCAGTTCTAAAACGTCGTGGTACAAAATATCGTGGTCGAAAA